GATTTTAATATTGTATTAGAGCATTTAGAACTTATTAAATTATGAATCATTATATATTTGTTTAAAATAAAGAGGTATAACCAGTGGCGGATCCAGCCACTTTTTGGCCCACCCTCAATTTTTTTTTTTTAATATTAATATGTAAATTTATAAATTTTGGCCCACCCTAAAAAAAATATTAATGGACAAAAATAGTAATGTATAATAAAGTTTTATTTTGGCCCACCTTAAAAGAAATTTCTGGATCCGCTATTGGGTATAACGACATAACTGGTTCAAGGCCTACGCAAAACAGGTAACCAAAGACCCCACTTTAAGATAAGACCTCAAAAAATCATTGGTATATAGTTTTAAACAATGTTAGGGTTCTTTCTTGTTACTATTACCAAACAAAAATCTAATGCGAGTATTTCTTATCTGTTCTGTATTACGAATAGTCTTTATGTGTTATTCATATAGTGTATTATTTAACCAAAAAAAAATCTGATAACTTGTATCCAAGGTATCATATTAAATATAATATATTTTTCAGAAAATTAAAGACGCAAAAGTTATTTATTATATCTTCAAATATATATATATATATATATATAACTCACCCATAATCTTGTGCTTCTCATCAACCAATCCTCTAAATCTCTCAATTATTAAAGGATTTTTTTTTCCCATAACATGAATAGTTAACAAATCAAACAATGACCAAATTCAGATTAATTTATTATTCATATGGCAGCATGGGATTTAACTAGTAAACCTCAACTTTGTGGTAAAAATAAAAAATAAATAAAAATAAAAAAAGCGCTCTTGCAACCATACAAGGTATGACATTATCTTTTTTTCTCTGCCATGAAAAAGTAGTTGCATGCAGATATATAAAAATAGAATAGACAGCTAACTTTGTGGCAATTATTCTACTAATCTTTTTTGTTTTTTTAATAACGAAAGTGTTCGAAAAAATTTATACATATTTCAACTAATTTTTATAATCTATTAAATACTATATATATTTAAAAGATCAAATAAGTCATAATATAATAAATAAGCCCAAAATTTGAACCAAAAAATTTAATAAAAAAAACAATCATAGTAAACCACCAAACCAATCCGTTGGGGTTATACTAATCTTTTAACTCCGCGTAAATGTTACCTCTGCTTAGGTCATTGAATCTCTTAAGTTGAACAAAAATAGATTTGTTGGGCCTACGTCCTACTCCATAACCCATAATTTTTGTCTAAGCATGAGAGCTCACATGATCGCCAATTCCTCTGATTATAAATCTACCGACACTTAATTGTTCTTAATTGATTTAGCTCAAATTAAGCATTACCAATAATAACTATTCAGAGCACATGCGTGTACTGATAAAGACAATTACAAGTCACTTCTAGATATCAATGATTGACCCTAGATGTCCCATGACCATGACAGTGGTTTTTGTCATTCTGCTCTTTCCTATTTCGGAAAGATTAAGTTGCTCAACTTTCATCAGAGTAATCGTGCGGTGATGACTCACTACCTGGTGTGTCAATTCACAATATATTGATAAGCCCACAATGAGTCATATCTATTTAACTAAATACAAACTAATTAGTTGAAACTGCTATATATCAGGTTTGTAAGAGAAATCAGTGAAAAAAGTTTATCACTCTATCTTTATTTTTTAATAAAATATTACTATAATTAGTTTTCAAGTCAGTCTCACCTCTTACAAACAAGTGAAGGGTTGATACATATCATATTTCTTCTTAGTTTATTTTTCAAATGGTCATTAGATATTTTAAATTATTAATTAAAGAATGCAGATCAATCTTCAAAATCAAATATACCTTTAAATAGAAAGGATAACATTTATGATGCAATATTTTTAACATTATTGTTTAAGATATATATGTTAAGATAATCTTATTATATCTAAAGATTTTTAATTGTAAATCAATGTTATATACGAACTTTATCAAAAAAAAAAAAAAAAAAAAAGTGGTCCACATGAAGTTTTTGCTACATTTAAAAAAGCTTGAAAACCTATTATATATATCTCCATACTTTATGCTACCATAGTGCCCAGTGGTGGATTCAGGATTTTTCGAGGAGGCCTTCATGGCTCGGCCATTATTTCCAAATAATTATAAAACTTTAAAAAATCATCAAACCTTAATAAAAAAAATAATACAATATTAAGAACCTGAGAAAAAGAATATACATTAACACAATATTTCTTACTTGAATAAATCTATAAGAAGCAAAATTGAGTAAATGTATTAAAAGTGTTGAGTAAACCTTGAACAAAACCTTCTTTTAATATTTTTATTGTTGGCTTTCAAATATAATAATATAAATTTTTATAACGTTGATCAAATCTAACCTAATTAAATTAAAGTCAACCAAAACTTAAATCAAGTCAACGTTACGTTGACTTTTAATATGAATTAATAAGAGGGGAAATTTTTTTACCATAAACATAGATAGTAACTCAATTTTTTTTAATAATTTTGAACAACTGAACGATGACGTTAAAAATATAGGAAAGTGATGGGTAAAGGATGAAGAATAACGTCCTTTAAAATATAGTTAATGTTTTAATTTGAGAAAACAGGTTCATTCTTAGACAGAAAATACAAAATAAACTCACAAGATTAATATCTTTTTCCCTCAAAAAGAAAAAAAAATGAATCAATCCTTAAATAAACTAAATTGAAATTAACAATACACATACCTAAAATCTATAAAACGGAGCTAATTATGATACCTTGAGTAGTGAAAATTTAACAATTTCAGTCTTCAAAAATTTTAAGAGAGAATAACATGAGAAAGAGAAAGAGAGAGTAAAGAATTTGAGGATAAAATCATAAAAAAAGACAGGTAAAGCTGTGTAGAAAAACACTGGAGAGAGTTTTAAACTTTTAATATAATATGGGCTTGGAATATATATATATATTAATAACAAGTTTTTTTGTAGACCTAAATATACAGTATATATAATAATTCTTATTTTTTAAAAATTTGAAGCTGCCTCTGAATATATATGTTAATTAACAATTTTTTATGGCCTTATATTAATAAATTTTTTTTCAAATCCAAGGGTAGGCCTGGGGCTGAATCCGCCCCTTATAGTGCCCTAACAGTTTGTAATTTGCATTAAGCCATTAAGTATTTATTTGACAATTTATAATCATATGTGGATCGTAATAAATGAAAAAAATAATAATAATAACAACAAATTTAGTAATTAATTTTATGAATACTGCAATATTTTGGACTTTTTCATATTGTGCTCATGAAGATTACTTTCCATATAAATTTATGAATAATGTTATATATACAAACTAATTATACAAATTATTCCCTACAAAGTGACTTTGCATGTTAAACATATCATCTTTTGTAATTATTTAATTTATCTTTCAATTCAAAATCATCTAATTAAATTAAAATACATCAATAATACACCAATTTGTACAGATGAGTTTGTGCTAAGAAATTTTACATACAGTATTCTTAATAAATTTATTCCAGATTGTCTTGGTGATTGCAAAGTAACAGGAAGTTACTAATATAAAATTAGAAATGATGCATAAAGAACTGATGATAGGATAGGTATTTAACTATTTATTATGTTATTATTTGTCCCTATCAACTATATTATGAGTACTCTAATTTTAAAAGATCTCATCATATATGCGCACTAATAATAATATCAAATTAATTTTTTATTTTATTTTATGCTCAAGTAAAAATCAAATTAAAAGAAGATCATGGTCCCGCATCAATATCGATAATGTTATTAACTCAACAATTTTGTGGAATTTATTTTACTAATAACCTATAGATATTTTTTATTAATTGAATAAAGTTGGAAATGAATAACAGTTTATGACTTACTGTAGAAAGATTATGCAAGTGATTGAGAGGGTGTAAACTTAACTTATGCAAAGTTACTGTCTTGTAGTTTGGTTACCAAATCTAATCTAGACTTGTCTATGTCATGCAGATCCTAATTGATCTATGGTTTTGTTTTAATACATTTTTTTGGAGCTTTCTCTTCAATATTTAATATCGACAATATATACTAAACACCAAATGTGCTCATAGCTATGGCATCTTCCCAGATAAATTTTTACTCCTAATTTATTCAAAATCATATTATAAACAAGCAAAAAACTCGCAATTGAACCAACAATGGATTGACTGAGTGGTAAAGGTTGGGGTCAAGGAGTTTGTTCCTCTTGTAGTCTTAAGTTCGAATTACAAGAACGATTGCTAATATTGTTGGTGATAGACCACATAACTTATCCTGTTTTGGAAGCATTGTTCGAGGTAGGGAGAGTAGTGGAGGTACATGTAATCTAACCCGAACATCCCCGGTAAAAAATAATAATAATAAAAATAAAAATTTCACAATTGCTTTAATAGATTTTATATCTTTTGGTGGATCGATCAATCTATGTTGAAGTCCAGGATAAAGATCAAGCTGTTCTGCATGTCTAATCAAGTTACCACTTAATTAATGTACTATGAATATTGAATTTGCTCGTGAGTAGTTTTAAACAAATCCCGCGTGAGCTTTTTTGTAAAACAATTTCAGGAAATTCAATCAGCTATCGCTCATTTACAGCTTACACATGCGTCTAATATTGAATCGATGCAGCATATTGGGATTAGGATATAAATTAAAATTATCATTATATTAATGAATTGTAGTGGAACGTGAAGGTAAATCAAAATTTTATTCATTCCGAAAAAATTTAAATAATGTGCAATTTATCAAAAGTCTATTAATTCTAAAAATAACTGAATAGCATTAATTAATTTCATTAAATTTCAGGAATTAAGTCTTGTCGGTTTTGAGATATGACAGAAACAAAAACATAAGTTAGTTAAATAATTAATTCATCAATAATTCTATTATACGTTGAAACAAGCTGTATATGCAACCATTTGTTCATTATAACAACAAATAAATATGATAAAACTAATAACTGACGACCATAAATTAAAAACAAAACAAAATCTGAACTCAAGTGGTGATGAAGATGATGTTGCTCTCCAAAATTCACCCAACATATAGCAATAAGAACATATATAGAAACAGATGTAGATATGAAATTAATATGAAACTCTCCATTTGTAGCGCCAAGGGAACCCAGAAGAACCTTGATCCACCGGCAAATGAATATGCAAGCAAATGAAGTTTTATGCATGCATATTCAACACTCATCTAGTGATATGAGCAACAAAGGAATTGAACTCCGTGCAAGAAACTCCACCTTCACGCATTGATTGCCGCACTTGGCGACCCAATTCTGCAGCCTTATTTCTCATCTCATCCCCCTCCTTCGATGCCATTAATCTTGTCACAGCAGTTTCCACCATATTTGATGTCACTATCTCTTGTCTGTGAGCCCAGTCCCTAACAAAAATGCCAACTTTTAGCACTTGTGTTATAAGCACTGTGTTTCTGGGCTGATCAGAATGCATAGGCCATGCCGCAATTGGTACTCCCATGCTCATACTTTCCATGCAAGAATTCCACCCACAGTGACTCATAAACCCACCTGTTGATGGATGAGCCAAAATTTCCAGTTGGGGTGACCAGTCTCTCACTACTAATCCCGTATATTTAACTGAATCTTCATACCCTTTTGGGAGCTCAACTCTTCTCACTTCTCCACTGAAAACATCTGCTTTGTCAACGTCTCTCACCAACCAAATGAACTTTTGATTGCTTTGCTTCAAACCAATAGCAAGCTCCTTGATCTGTGCATCATTCATGGCGGTGGTTGTCCCAAAAGAAACATATACAACCGAGTTTGGTGCTTGCTTGTCAAGCCACTCCAAGCAAAAGTGCCTATTTTTCTTCTGAGGTACTATTGTCACAGGGTTGAATGGCCCTAAAGCCCAATTTTTAATCTTGTTTGACATTGTTTCTCTATCAAGCAAATCCATGTAAGCACTCTCAATCACTCTACATGTGTTGTAAACATTTCCAGAGTTGAACTTTCGATAGTCGTATTCAGAAGAAATCGAATCCAAGAACTCTTTGGTGAAACAATCTTCTAAAGAAGGGATGTCTTTTGGGATTGCATCATTGGCGTCAATAGATTTCCCCATAGATTCCCATATGTACAAGTAAATAGAAAAAGCTGATACGCTATGGAAACAATAAGACTCTACGTTGGGGATAACACGAACTTCTTGAATCAGTACAGACCCCATCAATGAGTCATGAATGACAATCACTTTTCTCGCCGTGGAAGAAAGCTGGACTAAAAGTTGAGCCAGAGGGTGACCAAGCTGTTTTGATGCATTAAAACATGTTTGCAGATGAGGAGGAAACTTACAGGTTCCATTGGCGTCAGGAGGGCAGGAAACAAATGGAGGGATTTCGAAGTCATGGAAATGGACGTTAAAAATGTTGAGTGGGTTCCAACCATGGACCCGAACCTTGGCCTGGAGGTTGTGGGAAGCTGTGCCGACGTAATGAACCGGAATATTGTAAGAGGAGACGAGGCGGGAGAGTTGAAGAAGCTGATTGAGATGGCCTTGAGCTGGAAATGGCACCATAACCACAACCACTTCTTGTTCTTTCACCTGTAGACCATTTTGGCCATGGTTTTGGTTGTCTTGGTGGTTAGTCGTCATGAAAAAATGGAAAGTCTGTTGATGGCTACGAGTTTTAATGCTCTTTCATTGTGTGTTGGGGTTTTTATACATGAAATTGGTGATATTGCAAGGATAAATAATCATATTTATACGTATAAGTATAGGTAGGTGGGTAGTTACAAGGATGAGTATCACTTATGGTATTTAATAAACTGATGATATGAATAATGTATATTATTAATGGATGAAGAAGATGAACGGACGTGATAAAGGATTCCACCTCCAAGCCGGAATTGATATTTAGTCAATGATAATTAACAATTTAAATACAAGAATCAGTAGTTATAAAAAATGACATGAAAACTTAATTAAATCTTAGATAATATCCAATTAAAAAGAAGAAAAAAAATCTACTGCAATTTATTTAATCTCTGTCATCATAGTGCATTATAGCTACGGAAAACACAGATCATATATATGTTAACGATCTGCTGATTTGCCATATATTGTATCCTGGTTCTACGTACGCTATTATAAATTTCATCGAACAAGTAAAACTTTGAGGAAAGCCTTAAAATCAGAGTGTATCCCGTAACAATGTAACGTATAACGGCTAATGAATTTTGTCCTGTTTATTACACTAGAACTTGTGCATGTAAATATAAATAAAGATCACAAAAGATAACGCATTCAAATTCGCATTTATGGGGTCTACAATTTAGAAAGAAAAGTTTATGATTCTGGAGGGTGTAGATAATGTTATAAATGTTTAGACCATACATAGTAATGAACCCTTAATTATTTGAAAAATCATAAGAGTGGCCCCACCAAAAGTGCTGCCTCTGGCTGTTTTACTTATATGAAAATGCTGCTGTTCAATATTACTAATTATTAGTCTCTATAAATTGTTGGAATGAAATGCGTAGTTAATATTAATATTAGTAAATGAAATAGTTGATATTAGAATAACAATGTATTCCTCAAGTATCCTAGTATTTCACGAACTTGTTAGGATATCACGTAAAAAGATTATTAGAAGAATTATCAGACCATATTTTGATCTAAAATCTAGAATGAAAAGAAAGATCATATATGAAGAGAGTCAGCAACAAGAATTTGTTACAGCATTTGAAATGAATGTGTATCTGAAAATGTTACCAAGAGTTTTTGTCTGACTAATTCACAGGTTAAATAAAAAAAGATGAGCGTGATGTGACCAGTAATGTAATATCTGGAATATATAACGTATGCGTGACATTAATGGTGGTAATTAAATTTCAACATTTGTTTTTTTTTTAAATCTATATAAAGTTTACTTAAAATAATAAAGACGCATCAGAATTTTAAGTTTCGCTTATATACTTAACTTGATATCATGAAAAGTCGCTTCTAGGAAAATACTATTAGATGAATGAATAAATCTAATAGGTATATGTATATGTCTCTCTTCTATGAGATATCTTTACATAATTTCGTATATATATGGAGATATTATTTACATATTTTTTGAACACAAACGCGAATGTGTATCTTTGTACGTGAAATTAATAAATTCTTTACTTACAACAACCAGAAGATCTTAAATTGCATGCCGGGAAAAGAGAGCAGAGACTGACGACTGAATATTGCACTTGTATGGTACTTAATTTCTATTTATTAGTTAATCGACACGTTTCCATTGCAGGGAGTAGCCTTTTGGAAATTAAAGCCCCAACTCTTGATGGCTTGCTTTTGCTTTCTCTTATCCAGCTAAGATAAGATGGAGTTGTCATAGTCCAATTCGTCTCTGTTCCTATCTGAATTTTGGAATTGGACCCCACAGAATAAATATATATGCCTCAATGGCCATTAATCCCCACCATTGCACGCGACCGCCGTCCGCCTACCAAGATAGTGCGTTATTGAATCCAAAGAACAGGCTCAACAGCTACCACTGCGCAGCGCTTTCCTTTATTGTCGTCTTGTTGCCGTGTAGGACTGGTTTTTCATATTAAATATAAAGGGTAATGCACATGCTCTTCTCGTCAATTTAGCAATCTTTCAATAAAAGAAAATTCCAACTTTGGATGTCTGATTGTAAATGCAACAGTACTATGTCTAATTATATGAGAAAAACTTTATATAAAGATATGTGGCATTTTCTTTCTTGAATGTTGATTCCGGTATGATTAATATCATTCATGTCATTAGTAATTAATTTTGGACAACATGCACTTACGTACGTATTTATACTTTGATTAAAATATAGGAAGTTGATCTGCAAATTAGATACATATCTTTCACTATATCATCACAACTTATGTCACATCATTTAGATGTATATGTGACTTTATTCATCAGAAATACATTGTTAATTAACTAAACTGGACCAAATTCACAAGTTGCTTTTCAAATTGGCAGCCATAGGATGATGGGACCTAGTAAACCTCAACTTTGTATGATGAACAGATGAATTGAACTTGTGACAACTGCAACTGCAGCCAGGAAAAACGTCACATATAAGACAATGAGAAGATATAACAATTCATGTCGGCTATCTAAAATAAACATCAAACACGTAGATTCAATAGACTGCCGTGATTTTATGGCGTGAAAACTTAAGTTTGTTTTGTCTGCGGCACCGCAGAAATTTATTTCCAGTCCGCATTCAGCAATGCCTATGACCTTCCATCTACCGACAAACATCCTTGACTGATTGAAGAGGAGAATAATATTTTCATAAAATATTATTAATTTTTTTTATAATTTAATATAAATCATCACTTGATATATATATATATATATATATGTCAATCTTCTGCTCTTTCCGGCAAAGGTCTCAATGCCAACGTCTTTTGTCTTCAAAATATCTATGCATTAAGATGCATAAAATCAATGGAGCTGGTAGTTTAGATTCTCTATCTAGTCGTTAGGAGAAAATTGCAATTATGAATCATTATATATTTGTTTAAATAAAGAGTATAACGACATAACTGGTTCAAGGCCTAGGCAAAACAGGTAACCAAGACCCCACTTTAAGATAAGACCTCAAAAATCATTGGTATATAGTTTTAAAACAAAGTTAGTGTTGGAGTTGTCGACTACTTCAGCATTAATGGGTAACGAGACGCACTCGGCGGTTTTGGGCTTTTCCATGTATAACCGCTGTAGATTCTTTTAAGTTATAATTCCTTTTTGGTTGGCTTAGGAATAGGAATTCTTGTAAAACTAGGTTTAATCTCTTAAACCTAGTATATAACAATACTTCTCTTGTTATGGATGTGAGACAATTCATTCATTGTAAACGAGAGAGGTGAGACATATTGCAATAATATTGACTCATGCGACGTAGCCTACATTGGTGAATCAGGGTAAATCACGCGTATTACATTCTTTGTTTACTGTTTGTTTTGTAACTATTATTATTTTGTTCCTGTTGCTTCTCTATTTCGTTCAGTTAGGGTTTTTTCTTGTTACTATACCAAAAAAAAATCAATGCAGTATTTCTTATCTGTTCTGTATTACGAATCTTTATGTGTTATTCATATAGTGTATTATTTAACCAAAAAAAATCTGATAACTTGTATCCAGGTATCTATTAATATAATATATTTTTAAGAAATTAAAGACGCAAAAGTTATTTATTATATCTTCAATATATATATATATATAACTCACCCATAATCTTGTGCTTCTCATCAACCATCCTCTAAATCTCTCAATTATTAGAGGATTTTTTTTCCCATTACATGAAGAGCTAACAATCAAACAATGACAAATTCGATTAATTTATTATTCATATGGCAGCATGGGATCTAACTAGTAAACCTCAACTTTGGTGGTAAAAATAAAAATAATAAAATAAAAAAAATAAAAAATAAAAAAAAAAAAAAAAAAGCGCTCTTGCAACCATACAAGGTAGGACATTATCTTCTTTCTCTGCCATGAAAAGGACTGCACGCAATACATAAAATAGACAGCTAACTTTGTGGCGATTATCCTACTAATCTTTTTTTTTTTCCTTTTTTATAATAATAGTGTTCAGAAAAGTTTACACACATCTCAATTAATTTTTTTAATCTATTAAATACTATACATATTTAAAGGTCAAATAAATTATAATGTGATAAATAATCTTAAAATTTAAACCCAAAAATTTAATAAAAAGAACAACCCTACTAACCATTAAACCAATCCGTTGGGTTATACTAATCTTTAACTCCCGTAAATGTTACCTCTGCTTAGGTCAATCTCCTAAGTCGTACAAAAATAGATTGTTTGGGCCACATTCTACTCCATAACCCATAATTTTTGTCTAAGCATGAGAGCTCACATGATCACCAATCCTCTGATTAAAATCTACCGACACTTATTGTTCTTATTGATTAACTCAATTAAGCATTACCATAATAACTATTCAGAGCACATACGTGTCCTGATAAAGACAATTACAAGTCACTTCTAGATATCAACGACTGACCCTAGATGTCCCATGGCCATGACAGTGGTTTTTGTCATTCTGCTCTTTCCTATTTCGGAAAGATTAAGCTGCTCACTTCTCATAGTAATCGTGCGGTGATGACTCACTACCTGGTTGTCAATTCACAATATATGGATAAGCTCACAAGAGTCATATCTATTTAACAATAGGTCTTATTTAATCAAATACAAACTAATTAGCTGAAATTGTTATATCATATTTGTGAGAAAGTCACTGGAAAAAGTTTATCTACCTATCTTATTCTTTGTAGAATATTACTATATTAGTTTTCAAGTCAGTCTCACCTCTTACAAACAAGTGAAGGGTTGATACATATCATATTTCTTCTTAGTTTATTTTTCAAAGGTCATTAGATATTTTAAATTATTAATTAAAGAATGCAGATCAATCTTCAAAATCAAATATACCTTTAAATAGAAAGATAACATTTATGATGCAATATTTTTAACATTATGTTTAAGATATATGTTAAGATAATCTTATTTATCTAAAGATTTTTAATTGTAAATCAATGTTATATTAGAATTAGTCAAAAAAAAAAAAAAAAAAAAAGTGGTCC